AAAAAAAAGTATAAAGTTTTTTGGGACGTTACTGAAAACCTTAACTGACTGTGAGAGAAATAATACACATATTTATATTGAAGAAGGCACACTGAGCTGAAACAAATTTGCCAGATAACATGTTCCAACTGCAGGCGAATAAGCTCTTCCTAAGCTGGACTATTATCGCGGATATTCAGTTCATACCTCGTAATGGTTGAATGGGGTCGTCAGCTAATGTGGACAAGCAGAGGCTGCCAACGGGCGGTGATTGTGCAAGTGCAGTAATAACTTCCAAAAAAATTAAGAACTCATTTACTTTGACCCTTTTTGTAGAAAATACTGCTAGTTTGGGGTACACTTTCGAAGGAGAGGAATGCTTCGGACTACATTTTTTCACAACTTTACATATACTTTCCGACGCAGAGCATGTTGCCGTGCTTTTAGAGGACTTCCGTTTACCCAGCAACACATTTCACATAAAATAAAATAAATAGTTGCATTATGACCACCCGGTAAGCCCTCCTGTCGTTCATAGGAGATTGCAGTTGATGCGAAAGATACCGTCTAATCTGTAATCTGCATTATTAAGACAGGGGATATCAGAATACAAAAGTAATCACATGAGGACTCTAAAAGTCCCGTCAGCATAAATGCTTTTAAGCCCAAAGTATCTCGTTCTTTTAGTGCCATATTCGAAGAAATCTATTTTTTTACTAGATAATGAAGAGGTATGAGTGAGGATCTAGACGAGTGCCTCGTAAGTTTTGATGCATATAGCACACCGAAGAAGGAATGAAAAGAGGCGTGCTGAAACCTTTAGATACAAAGGATGGCCAACCCAGGTTTTGCATCACTAGGCTCGATGATTTTCTTAGTTCGATTTTCATTTCGAGTTGGCTTTTTAACCAACTTCTGTGCATATGTTAGTCAGAAAGCAGTTTATTTCTTCAGAACATAGTGTTCAGTGCGAACTGGGCTGGTCCGCAGTGCCCTGAATCAGACTCCGATGTTTTGACCGCCACATTAGATAGGCAGTCAACACTGTTGGAACTTGTATGATTAAATCGGAAGTACAAAACGATGACCGACCTGGTTGTCCCTTGTTTTTATCACTGGACTTCCATTTGCCTCGCAATGACTCCCCCGTGGGGCGGTCACCATCCGCGATTTTGCGGAAGTCTTTTAGACCTGCGTGAATGGATGCTGGTACTGTTATCGCAAATCCCCACCTAGAATATGATGTATGTACTTTCCTTCTTCAAGCGACCACTTTAGATTGCTGAAAAAACCTACCGCAACTCCAGTCAGCAATTTACAGGACGGCAACTAACGGTACTGTACATTATAGGATTAAATACTGCATGCGGTCGGCCTGGGAG